GCTGCTGTCTCTCCGGATTTTGCAGCCACGCACCCAGGGCCTGGGAACCCCGCCTGAGAGCACCCTTGGCACCCACTGACATGCACCATGGTTCCCTTCACGAGCTGTGTGGTGCCTTAGCAATACAGTCTCACTGGCTACAGGGACGCCCCTGTCCAGGGCTGTCATGCACCGGACATCTCCTGCCTGACGGTGTGGTCACAAAGGCAGGGGTCCCATGTTGGGTAACATTGCTTTGTCCCGCTACAAGAAGCTTAGGTTTATCTGGTTACACCCATCAATCTGGTTACACCCATCACAGTGCTCCTGAAGGACTTCCACTTCCATTGTGTTTATCTGTAAACAGTCTTCCCTATACTCCCCTTCCCACCCAGTTAATCAGCTTTCCCCTTAATCAGACTTTGTTAATTTGTAAGATCAGTTTCCCAGAAATCTATGATTTTATACGTATGAGTGAAATATTGCCTTTCTCCTCTCCTTATGCCTTATGAATAGTTTACCTTAAAGTAATATCCTTTTTGTATAGATACAGGAAGACCATTAACATTATGCTTTGTAACTTAGGATTTGATTGGCCTTGAATATTATTCACTTCTGGGCATCTTTCTCGATTTAAGCGTCAGTTGCCCTTAGTTCCTACCACCCCAAAAGCAGGGTCCCGACGAGGGACTGAATGGACCCAGGGCAAGCAGTGAGCTACCCTGGCAGCGAAATGGGCCAGGCCAAGGTGCCACGATTCTTAACTATAAGTTAAGAATTTGATCATAGACAAATGCTGTCATGATCCAAAGGTAACGACAAGACTAGGATCCTGCTAGGGGTGGGAAAGACTATCTGGCCTGAGCACCTTAGTCTGAGATCGAGATGGCCCTAGGAGAGCAATTATATAAGTTTAAGATATTTCTTACTGTATCCATACAAAATGATTTATATTATTCTTGTATGCTCGTCGGACAAGGAGAGGAGAGGCACGCCCATGGGATTATGCTCTAGGGTGGGTCCTCCTGCTGAGGAAGGATCTGTCCTAGGAGCGGTCTTCCCTGAGGCCAAGATTTCTACCCCTATTGATTTCTACCCCTATTGATTGTGACCACACCTATGTGTAATAGTTCCCCCAATTCCTCATGCAGAGAGGATTTAACTGTACTGTAGGAGTGGGCAGGGGGCACAAGGAAGAAGAGAGTTCAGAGAGGATCAGAAGGAAGAGGAGGATGAAGGGGGATGGAGAAGGAGAATGAAGTAGCATGGGGGCAGAGACAGAAGGAGAGACGAGGAGAGACAGAGAGAGACAGGAGCAGAGACAGATGAGGAGAGAATCAGAATAAACTACGACTAATACCTACCAGCCTGGCCCTCGTTCCTTCCTCCGCCTGACCATCGCCATCGACCTCTTCGGGGTGGGAGAAGGGTGAGACTACCGAACGCGGGTGGCGGGAGAGATAGAGCCACCGCCGCTGTGGGTGCCGTGCCCCCCACTTGGTGTGAGTTTACACAGTCCCAGACCCAGCCCCCTCTGAGCTTCCTGAATCCCAAGCTTACTACGGGCTGGGTGGCTGTGTGTGACCCTGCAGTGTGGGGCAGTGGCTGAGGGCCCTAGTTTCCCCCGCCTCCTCCACGTGGGGCCAGGGCCTTCATGCAGGTGACCAGCCTCTCTCTGGTTTGGCCTGCAGAGCCCACAATCTGGAGGCCCATGCCCTTTCTCCTACCTCTCTCCCTTTGTAGCATTTTCTCTCTTTCCTGTGTGGTGCTCAGGACTTGCTCCTAGCTCTGCACTCAGGTCACTCCTGTCGGGATTCAGAGAACCACATGTGGTGTTGGCCAGCCTTGTGCAAAGCAAGCGCCTTACCCATTCTGTGCTTCTCGAGCTCCTGAATCCACTTCCTTACCGTCGCTCTAGCTAAGGCTAGTTCCACTGCTGAAAGCAGCAAATACTTGAAGCCACCCTTTGTTCAGGAAAATAATTCATATGGGGGCTGGAGAGACAGTGCAGTGGGCAGGGCGCTTGCCTTGCCCTCTCTGGGTTTGATCCCCAGCACCACCAAGGGTCCCCGGAGCCCCACCAGGCCGGCCCCAAGACCAAAATAAACCCAAACCAGCCAGGTGTGGTTCCAAAGACAAAATGAAAAATAGGAACTTGCTTTAGCAAAGACAACTCCCCCCATGGCTGTCACCCCCGCAGTGCAGTTCCTGGTGGCGGCCTGGATCCTCCTAGTGTACCCCCATGCCCAGGGTCTGTTCCCCTGCAGGTCACCCCGGGAGACAGCTGCCCAGCAACCCTGGCCCTTCCTGCCTGGCAGCCATGTGGGGTCAGAGCCGAGAAGCAGGAGAGCTTCTGGAGGAGAGCCAGCGACAGGAACCCCAGAGCCACAGGGCCCAGGCCAGAGCCAGGACTTCAGACAAGTTGTGGGTTCCCTCTGGGCCTTTGAGGGGGCACAACTGGATTTCAAGCCTCAGGGGACTGTGTGCCCCCCACCCCCACCCCAGGCCCATGGCCAGTCAAAGCAGAGGCCCAGCTCTGGACCTTAAGGTCAGTCACCCCTACCAGCCACAGCCTGGAGGGCTCTCTGGGGTCTCAGCTGGACTGGTGCCCCCATGTGTGTAAACGCTGGCAGCATTGTGCATGGGGAGCACATGGGAAATACTTACTAATGATGATGATGAAACAATTTGCAAAATATGAGAGCATGCACTGCAGAGTGTAATGTTGGCAGCGGCACCAGCACCCCAGGGGCGGTGAGTTAATAAAAGACCCTGGAGGGCTGCTCCACCCTCAGTTCCGCCCCATGTGTGCGTGTGTGAGACAGACAGACAGACAGGGAGAGAGGATGTGAGTTCCCCACCGGTTCCCACAGGGGACACAGGGATGTCTCCAGGGTGTCGTGACACCCCAGCACCTCTGGCACCTGGGGGCAGCCATATTAAGTGGAGGTCTGTGGCCCCTCCATTTTATTGTTTTGTTTGTTTGTTTTTGGGTGATGCTCAGTGATGCTCAGGGCTTACTCCTCGCTCTGCACTCAGAGATCACTCCTAGGCGGTACTCTGGGGATGATATGCGATGCTGGGGATCAAACCCAGGTCGGTGGTGTGAAAGGCAAATGCCCTCCCTGCTGTACTATCACTTTGCCCCGGCCCCTCCATTTGACGTATCGCTCTCTTATTCCTTTATTTATTTCAGTTTCTGGGCCATATCTGGTGTTCTCAGGGGTCACTCCTGGCAGGGACTGAGCCTTTCTGCTGTACTTTTTCCTGCCTTGACACAGCTTGGTCAAGCTCCGAGTTCATGTGTACTGCCAGGTACCCACTTGAAGTTAGCAATCAAAGGTCTTAGGTGGATGACAGCATCTTAGTGGACACAGGCCCCAAGTAACTGTGACAATTTTAAGTCAAGAGTTCATGAGGAGTCAGAGATTGTACAGCAGATAAGGTGCTTGTCTTACACAAGGCTGACCTGGGTTTGATCCACTACATACTGTGGTCCCCTGAGTAATTCCTGAGTGCAGAGCCAGGAAAATCCCCTAGCATTGCTGGGTGTGGCCCCAAACCAAACAAACAAAAAAACTTTAGTGGTGTTAGACACACCCACACTGTAAGCGACACCTCCACTGTGTTCCAGATGTTCTGTCTCTGGGGTGCGTGCTAGGGGTCAAACCGCCTGGCTCAGGCATGAACATCCTGCCCTGCTTGCCGGAGGGGCTCCACAAGCCCCACTGGAGGTTTCCTGTGTGGGAACGGGTCTTCCATCTTAGGTTTCCCTAGTTCTTGGGCTGAGGCGGAGGTCTGTGCATGGCAGGAGGTTTTTGTGCCAATGGAAGGAAATTTTCAGGGGGATAGTACAGGAGGAAGGAACTTCTCTTACAGGCTGGATTGAGCCCCACCATCACATGTGGTCCCCTGAGTTCCACCAGGAGTGATTCCTGAGTACAGAGACAGGAGCGAACCCTGAGCACTACTTGGTGTGGTCCAAAAAACAAAAAGAAAATTCTGGGAGAGAGTGAAGTGCTTTTCTTATTATTTATTTTTTGGGTCACACCCGGCGATGCTCAGGGGGGTTACTTCTGGCTCTGTACTCAGGAATTACTCCTGGCGGTGCTGGGGGACTATATGGGATGCTGGGAATCCAACCTGGGTCGGCCACGTGCAAGGCAACCCTACCGGCTATAATATCGCTCCAGCCCCAAGTGAAGTGCTTTTTTTTTTAATCAAGGAAGGACACAATTTCAAAGAGAACCAACATAGCTTGTCCAGAGGTCTGAGGCAGTTGAGGTCAAGGGCTGGGGTGCTGGCAGGGGAGGGCCTGGTTCAGTCTGGCGGTACCCCCTGCAAGAGAACAGAGGGAAGGGGAGATCCCTGGGGTGGGAGGGAGGGCGTGTGAAGGGCAGAAAACCCCTGGGAGTGTTCCCAGCCTCTCGGCAGGGCTGAATCCCTTGGGCCTTGTTTCCCAAGTGGCCTCAGCTAGGGCTGGCTGAGGGAGTTGCCAGGGAGGTGCTCTGGGGGGCTGCTGGCTCAGCACTGGTGAGTCCCTCTCAAAGCACAGCAAGTCCCCAACATCCTTAGGTTAGGGCTCTGGGCAGGACTAGGCCCTGGGGCTCCCCTAGGAGGCACACTGCACCCACCACAGATGCACAGGCCCCATGAGCCGCCCGGGCAAACCCTGCGCCCCGTGGGGCTGATCCCCAACCGCTGCCTCCCCAGGGAGGCCACCGTGGAACAGCGCGCTGGGCCAGGGCGGGCACAGGGGTGCGCGGGCGGGCGGTGGTCGCGGGCACCACGTGGGCACAGCGGTGCGGGACGCGCCTCCGTGCCACCCGGGGGCAGCTTAGTCTGCACCCCGCGCTCCGCCCTTTACCCACGCCCGCGCGGGACCCGGCGCACGGACTGCGCGGAGCAAAGAGGTCAAAGGGCAGAGGGCAGGGCGTGCGCTGGACGGGGACTCGCCCGCAGGGGGCGCCCGCGCCAGGTCTCTGGCGGGCGCCTCGGCGTTCGGGCGCTTTCTGGCAGCGTGGCGGAACCTCGGGTCGTTTCGCGCCATTTTTGCGACATTTGTGTTGTGGGTACGGCAGTGTGGCCGCTATGGCGTCTCCTTTTAGCGGGGCGCTGCGGCTCACCGACTTGGATGACTTCCTCGGGCCGTCGCAGGTGGGCTGTCCCGGAGGGCGTTGTGCTCAGGGCATGGCTCCGTCGACTTCCTTCGGGGGGACCCGAAGCAGGAGGACGGAGCCGGGGGTTAGGTGTACACGGGTGCGCGGACGGGAGCGGGCGGCGCGAGGCCGCAGGCTCTGCGGGCGGGGGCAGGGGCAGGACCGCCGGCGTGGAAACGGGGGCCGCGGGTGACCGAGGTGAGAGTCGGGGCGGGCCCCGACACTTACCGGGTCCTCCCGGAGGAGCCTCAGCCCTGATTGGGATCTGCTTGGGACAGGAGTGCATCAAGCCGGTGCAAGTGGACCGGAGGCCAGGGGCCGGCTCGCCCAAGATCCACGTGGAAGATGATGGCAGCTACGTCCAGGTCAAGGTGGGTTCTAGCTGCGCGTGGTGTGCGCGCCCGGTGCCCACGCCCTTGTGCCTTGGTGGTGACACTGTGTGGTGGGACCAGAAACATCAGTTCCAGCCAAGGACCTGCAGACACAGACTTGGGGGTGGAAGGTGCAGGGGTCTGTGTCATTTCAGGACAGATACAAGCACCAGAGTCCCTGGCGTCATCTCCCATAGTACCCAGGAGGTGATGTGGGTCAGGGTTTTGCGAGCAAGTAAGTGGCATTGGGGAAAGTTCTCTTCTCCCGCTTGTAGTCACTTCTGGACACTTGCAGCAGGCCTGAGGGGCTCAGCTGGATGCCCACTACACCTAAGGAAAGTTGCCCTGGGCCAGAGAGATAGTACAGGGGAAAGGCACTTGCCTTGCATGCACCTGACCCAGCTTGCATATGGTCCCCTGTGACCCATGAACACAGAGCCAGGAGTAAGCCATGAGCACCGGCTGGGTGTACTCAATAACCAAACAGGAAAGGAAAGTCGCCCGCGATTGGAGAAGAGAAGTGAGGCTGCCTCTCAGCTTGTAGTCCATAGCCTGTGCATGACTGCTGTGCTTCCAGGATGGAGGGACGCGGAGGCTGGAGAAGGCCCGTGTCTCACTGGACGACTGCCTGGCCTGTAGTGGCTGTGTCACCTCGGCCGAGACTGTCCTTATCACTCAGCAGAGCCATGAGGAGCTGAGGAAGGTTCTGGAAGCAAACAAGGTAGGCCGTGGTTAGGCTTCGACACTGCATGAACCCAGCATCAGCCCCAGCACCCTCTGCTCAAGTTTAGCAGCTGCCCTCTTAGGCAGACTCCCGTCAGTGAGGGCTTCTGATGCGGTACTAAAGTGCCCAGCCCTGGCTGTGGGGTTCTGGTCACTCTGGCTGCTGGAGTCGCAGGCACATCGGTCGTACGTGTCTGAAGCACACGGGCTGAGCATGTCCCTGGCTTTGCAGTTGGCAGCACAGGATCAGCAGAGGCTGGTGGTTGTCTCGGTCTCGCCCCAGTCCAGAGCATCGCTGGCCGCCCACTTCCAGCTCAACCCCACTGACACTGCCAGGAAGCTGACTGCCTTCTTCAAGATGCTGGGTAGGGTGGGGGCGGGGGTGGGGGGACACTGTTGGGGCCAGGACATGGTCTCTGGGGCTTCAGGGTCGCCATTAGCGGGCTGGCCTTGGCCTCTGTGTATGAGAGCGGCCCTGGGGCTGCACTCTACATGGCACCCTGCTTGGGGGGGCCGGGGCCGGCAGGCTGGCTCTCTCAGGCCCCATGGCAAGTGGCCGCCTGCCTTGCAGGGGTGCACCACGTGTTCGACACCAGCTTCTCCAGGAACTTCACCCTTCTGGAGAGCCAGCGGGAGTTTGTACGACGCTTCCGGGCACAGGACCTGCCTGTGCTGACCTCTGCCTGCCCAGGTGATCCCCGACTGGATAGGGTGACCAGGTGCAGGGCGGGGGGGTACACCAAGAGATGCCTCCATGCCCCAGACATGCACAGCGCCCGGCGTCCTGCAGGGGAGGGGAGGCTGGTGGCGCCCACACCCGCCTGGACCGTGTGTCTCTCACCCAGGCTGGGTCTGCTACGCTGAGAAGACCCACGGCAGTGTGCTTGTCCCCCACATCAGCACAGCCCGGTCCCCGCAGCAGGTCATGGGGGTCCTGGTGAAGGACTTCATTGCCCAGCGGCAGGTGAGTGACCAGCAGGGGGGGTGGGTTGTGAGTCTGTGCCAAGACAACCTCTTCCTGGAGGTGCTTGGGGGGTCCCAAGCCTTCCTCGGTGCTTCCTGGGCATCCTCATGAGCCTGGCTGGGTCCTGGTTGCTGACACAAGGTGCAGGTCATGAGTTAGGGAGGCCCCTGCAGAAGGGAGGGAGCAAGTGTCGCCAGGCTGGGGAGGAGGGTCTGGGCACCGATAGTGCTAGCCGGGCCCAGGCGTGACCTGCCCTTCCTTGGCCCGTGAGCTCTGCCCTAGTGATGAGCCAGAGAGCCGTGACAGGCAGGTCAGTGCTTAGGGCCCTGCCATGTTCTTGAGTAAGGGCACAGATGTCTGAGCCCGGTCCCAGAGGGGTCCGGGTGTGGACATCACGCTTCCTGCAGCGTGTGAGCCCCGCCGCCATCTACCACGTGACGGTAATGCCGTGTTACGACAAGAAACTGGAAGCATCCAGACCTGACTTCTTCCGCCCAGAGCAGCAGAGCCGTGAGGTGGACTGTGTCATCACCACAGGTGGGCCTGCCTGGGCTCGGGGCACAGCAGGCCTGTCCCGGCCTTCCCTCTGGCCCTTCTCCCCTGCTCCCGCCTGCGGCTGTGGGAGTGGCACAGTCTGGAGCTGCTTCCCGGCCTTTGTCTCCTGGTGCTAGCAGGGAGGGGTGGGGAGGGGTCCCCACAGGGCAGCTTTCCTGAGGGGCTGCAGAAATGGGGTCCAGGCTGCACCTTCCGGCTCCAAGCCAGGATGGAGGATGCACAGCTCAGCAAAGCCCCTAGCGTGGGCCTGTGAGCCTGTGTGCCAGTTGCAGGGCCGGGGGAATCTGCACTCCGCTGTGCCCCCGGCCCCCTGTGCACCCTCCTGTCTGAGTGGGCCCCACATGGCCATGCTGGACAGGCCTGCTGGGGCCAGGGAAGGGGCAGGGCAACCCCTGGCCATGGAGGGACTTGGCCCTCCCTACTCTGAGCCTCTGCTGCCCCCCACAGGAGAGGTGGTCAGGCTGCTGGAGGAAGAGGGGGTGTCGCTGTCCACACTGGAGCCAGCCCCTCTGGACAGTGTGTGAGTCCCTCATGGGATCCCCCTCCTTGCTGGCCCCCTCCCGCTGGGTCCCTGGTCTGTGGACACTTCCTGGCAGTCATGTAGGATAGAGGAAACGGTCATGCCCAAGCTGCCTCTTGGCGCAGTGAGTGCCCAGGCGAGCCAGGTGCCCCCGCTCCTCCTAGGTGTGATGATCCCGGTGCCCAGGAGATCACCAGCCATCGGGGCGGAGGCTCTGGGGGCTACTTGGAGCATGTGTTCCGGTATGCAGCCCGTGAACTCTTTGGCATCCACGTGGACGAGGTCACCTACAGGCCCCTCAGGTCAGTGGGAAGGGCTGGGTTGGGCGGGGGGTCCCTGCCACGGGCCACAGCTCTGACCTCGTCCCCTATTCGCTGCCCGCACACGCTCCCGTGCACCCGAGCCAGGCTTGCTGCCTGTCCTCCCTGTGTCCTGCCGGCATAGAGGTGCTGCTGACCCTCTGGTGGCTGTCCCCTGCAGGAACAAGGACTTTCGGGAGGTGACTCTAGAGCGGGAGGGCCAGGTCCTGCTGCGCTTCGCCGCTGTCTATGGTTTCCGCAACATCCAGAACCTGGTGCAGAAGCTTAAGCGTGGCCGCTGCCCCTATCACTACGTGGAGGTCATGGCCTGTCCTGCAGGTATTGGGCCGCTGGGCGGCAGGGCACGGCGCATCGGAAGCCCCAGAGCCACCCTCTCCCCTGCCCGCTCTCTCCCCGCAGGCTGCCTGAATGGTGGGGGCCAGCTCAAGGCGCCCGACACGCCTGGCACGGAGCTGCTGCAGCATGTGGAGAGGCTGTACCGCGAGGTGAGGACAGAGGCGCCTGAGGACGTGCCTGGCGTCCAGGAGCTGTACCGGGACTGGCTGCAGGGCGAGGACTCGGAGCAGGCCACCCGCTTGCTGCACACCAGCTACCATGCAGTGGCCAAGGCGAGTTCCGGCCTCAGCATCCGGTGGTAGCTGCCCACCAGTCTCCAGCCAGCGCGCAAGGACACTCCACGAATCAATTCTGGAACCCTCAGGGCCTCCGCTGTGGGGGCCTCAGCATAGCAGAGGTGGGGCTCCTCGCCCCCCACCGTCACCCCCAAGCTGTGTCTACAGGGCAGCGCAAACTGGTCTGGCCCAGCCCCACCTGTCACTCAGAACCAGGTGTTAACTGCACTGAGTGGGGACAGAGGAGTTTTGTCTTTCCACAGCTGACCCCACTTCCCACCCTGGGAAGGTGACAACTGGACTTGGCCCAGTGTGGCCTCCCCCTGTAATAAAGGCCCCAGAGCACCTTCAGGTGTGTGCTGCACCGGAAAACGCTGGCTTTAGTTGATGCAGAAGCCCCGTGCTTGGCAGGGGTCTTAGAGGCACTTTGAAGAGAGTCCAGAGGCCACTGGCCGAGGCTCCAAGGGTGCAGGAGGCCCACAAGTCACTTGTGGTGTGGTGTGCTCAGGAGGGGTCCAGCCTGCAGCCTGTTCCCATGCCCACAGCCCGGAACTGCTCCAACGCCTCCCCTGGTGTCTGGATAGCTGCTGGGCGGCCCTGAGCCATCCTGGGAGGAGCCAGAGCCCTGCACAAAGTGGCTGTGTGCCCTCTTGGTGCCAACAGCGCTGGACATGTCCTTTTCCGCCTCTGCAGTGACCATGAGCCTTTGGTCTTCCGAAAGCTTTGAGCAGACATTTGCTCCAGCCCTGCGGGATGCCAGGGTGGGCTCTGGTAGGCAGCCCTGCCCCTGCCCCTTGTCCCCCTCTCTGGGCTCCCAGCCCACACCTCTGCACATGACAGCTTGATCCTCGCATGACGGTTGGCTCCACCTTCTGTGCCAACTACAGGTTGCTGGCATGTGCTCCTGGCCTCAGAACAGCTGGAGGGCCCCGAGCAAGACCCGAATGTCTGTCCCCCACATGTGCCCTGATGGCTGGGGTGCCCTCAGCCACCAGCAGGGTGTCCCCGGGGAAGGGCAGGGTCAGGTGCTCCATAAAGGTGCTCAGGTGGTGGGGGTGTGGCCTGGTGTCGCCAGGTTGTGCCGTGGGTGGCAGGGGCAGGCTTCGAGGCAGCTCAGCTGATCATACCCGCAGCTCTGCGGGCTGGGTCACTGGTCAGTGTGTGGGTGCGTCGCCAGCCCCCCCCACGGTAGAGGCAGAGCGGGTCACACCCTGCCCGAGGACTGCCCAGCACTGCTCCTTTCACCAGGGTGGCAGGCGCTCAGCATGAGGGTCAGTTACACTTCCTCCAGGCCCCAGTCTCGGGCTGAAAGGAAGTTGGAAATTGGTGGTCCAGGGGTCAGCCCCGTGCCTGGGCAGCAGGCAGGTGGGGAGAGGAACTGCAGAGCGCACAGGGGCGGGCCCACCATTTCCACATCCTCAGCCTCCTGGGCACAGCCACAGCTACTGCCGCCCCTGTGTGCCTCAGGGACCAGCACCAGGATGGCTTTTACCTTCATGGTCCCAAGCTCAGTCACCCCGTGCCTCAGAGGCATCTGGCCTGGGCCCCTTCCTGCATGGAGCCGAGCTGAGGCCAGCACAGCAGGGGCCAGCGCAGGTCTCAGCTGCAGATCCTGTGTCTGCAGGGCATGGCACTCAGCCCACTGTCCACTCAGAACACACATACAGCACATGTTCTGGGGGCCGTGCACACTCCTGGCAGCACCTGGCACTTCCTCCAGGAAGTCCTTAACATTGGCCCTGAACTCACCTACCCTCTGTACCCCCTTCCCTCAGCTAACAGGGGCACCTGCCAGCTGGGCTCCCAGCAGGTTCCTGCACTCAGCCCGCCTCAGGACACACCAGGTGAACAAGTGTCTGAGTGCTGCGGTCCTGCCCAAGTCCCCCCATGCACTGAGAGTGCAGGGTGCTAGAGGGCAGTGGAGAGGACGAGGCACCCAAAGGCGTAGCTGCCTTTGCAGGAACTGGGCGCCACCCCACCCCTCTAACCACAGCTGCCCCGCCTGTGCCCAGGACCCAGAGGCCCTGGCAACCAAGTAGGCACCAACACAGGCAGGGGTCAAGCCACGGCTGCCTTCCACATGGCAGGCACCAAAGGGGTGAGTGCTCCAGCAGGCTGTTGGCTTTGGGGAAGGGGTCTCCCTGCCCTCTCCCCCAGCTCCCCTGAGTCTCCCCGGGCTCTGTCACAGGCTGAGGGCAGACTGGCAGGAGAGCTGGGGCCCACAGCCACCAGGGCCACCAGTCTGGACGTGGGGCTTCCCTCAACGCGAACACTGAGTGAGGAGCAGCAGCTACAGGTGGGTGCGGGGTGGATAGGATGCCCCCTTCCCACCTCCACCCCCTGCCCACCTACCATCTCCCACAGATCTCCAGGGAGCTGGTGGACCAGCAGATCACAGCCAACCGGCTGCAGGAACAGCACGAGGCAGATATGTTCGAGCTCAAGAGTGAGGTAGGGCCAAGCGTTGGGGGCCAGGGGCCAGGGAGTAGGCAGCTCCAGGAAGTGCCCGCTGGCTTGGCAGGTCCTGCGGCTGGAGAGTCGGGTGCTGGAGCTGGAACACCAGGGGCAGCACAGTGGCCTGGCAAGGGCAGAACCGGGGCATTCCCGGGGGCAGGCACAGCCCGAGGACCGCAGAGCCCAGGTGACCAAGCACCCACAGGAGGGTAGGGGCCGGTTCAGTGCTTGTTCTTCGTAGGTGTCTGTGTGGGGGGAAAACACCCTGTGGCCGGGGAGTGGCAGGGCTGGGAGGGCAGCATGCAGCCTCTGGGCTCGGTGGGGACCGTGGGGCCGCTGGAGCCGGGACTTGCCGCTGTTGTGACCATGCCACAGGGAGAAGAGCCGCGAGCCCTGGACACACAAGCGTGAGTGACTGCCTGGCCCCGGGAGCACAGGGGGTGGGGCACTGATCCCGGGCACAGGGAGATGAGCCACACTCCTGGTCTACAGGGCAGCCCTGGCCCAGCAACTGCAGGAGGCCCGCAAGGCGGCCAGGGAGGCAGGGCAGCAACTGGCCGCACAAGCCGCTGTGAGCTCCGCCCCCACCTCCCCAGGGTGCTCTAGGGGGCTGGGCTGCAGGCCAGCTCAGGCCAGCTCCACCTGTTCCCCGCCAGGTGCTGTCGGCCTGCCAGGGCCAGCTCCGCCAGGCAGAGGCTGAGAACAGCCGTCTGCAGCTGCAGGTGAAGCTGCTCAGCGAGGAGTGCTCCCTCCGTCTGCAAAGCTGTGCCCGCAAGGCAGCTGTGCGCGTGGGCAGGGGCGCGGGTGGGCGGGCACCAGGGGGCCCTGAGGATGCCTGGGAGTCCTGTCCAACCCACTTCTTCCCCAGGAGGTTTCGGGGGGTGCCGGCCAGGCGCCTGGGGCTGCCACACTGCGGGCCTTCCTGGAGAGCGCCCTGGAGGACATCCGGGCAGCTCACCGCAGTCGGGAGCAGCAGCTGGCTCAGGCCGCCCGGGCCTACCGCAAGCGCCTGGCTGAGCTGAGCCACAGACACCAGGCGCTGCTGGCCGTGCACAGGTGAGTGGCCCCGGGGGGTGGGGGGAGTGGCGGCCCCATCTGACCCAGCCCGGCCGTAGACTGCAGCCTGGCCTGGAGGGCTCCCATGCGGCTGCCACTGCCACCGCAGACCCAGAGCCGCTGCCACTAGTCACCACGCTCCGACACTGGCAGGAGGAGCAGGTGAGGCAGAGCTCCAGGCGAAGAGTCCCCACTGCCCACCCTGGCGTCGGCCCTGGCAGCCCTCATTGCCCCCAGCTCACCAATGCTCCTGTCCACACAGAAAGGGCCCAGTGAAGCCTCCCCGAGGACAGCAGAGCCACAGTGAGCACCTGGCACTGATGGGCCGTGGGGGGCGGGGGACGCGAGATGTCTCAAACCCTGGCCAGGCAGGCCTGTGGCTCCTCTGAGCTTCTCAACCGGAGGGGCCATGGGGAGCCCCAAGACACCCCAGGGGTCCACAACACAAGACTAGAGAGTACACGGGGGTGGGAGGGCAACTAGGCCGGGGTTCCCAAAGTGCGTACAGGATATGGGGCCCGGACTGGACAGTTTCAGACTACCCAAGCCCCACTTGCTCCATGCAGGGGCCTGGATGCTGCATCCTGGGCCTACATCCACCAGAAGCTCCGGGATTTCTCCCATGGTATCCAGGTAGGGCTGGCCCCGTGGGAACGGGCTTGTGCTCGCCCCATGCCCAAGCTCAGGCCCCCACCCTCCCTGCCAGGCAGAGCTGGAACAGGAGCGTGCGCAGCTGTTGGTCCGGGCCACCATGGCTGAGGGGCGACTCTCTGAGCTCCAGGACTATGTGGACCAGCACCTGAGCAGGTGGGTGGGGGTCACCCGAGGACCTGACCGCAGCCCCTGGACGAAGGACGAGTCCTCGCCAGGCAGGTTACTAAGACAGCTCTCTGGACAGATATAGGCTGGAGATCCTGAGGCTGAGAGCCCTGGTGGGTGCCAGGGAGCCCCGAGAAGAGGAAGCGTCACCCCCAGGGAAGCCCACCGATCGAGCACTCACAGCCACTGGCGAGTAGTCTGGCCAACGCAGCAGGGCTGTCCAGGCCATAAGCTGCCCTCCATGCCCTAGGAGTCGCACCCAACAAAGACCAAACTGGAAGAAGCAGAGTCTTTATTGTGTCAATCAGCAGGCTTGAGCAGGGGGACCCTGGGAAGCAGGGCCGGCCTGCCCAGCTGGCCCTTGTCTGTGGACATCGTAGGCCCAGACACGGTCCACGCCCTCACCCAGCACGGCCACGGGCTTCCAGGTGGGGAGGGGGAAGCGTCCGGAAACCACACGAGCCCCTTGGGGCAGCTCTGCCTGCAGCTTGCCTTCGAGGAGCGGGAGCTGGAGGGGACAGAGGAAAAGAGGGTGGGAGCAGCCGCGCCCAGTAGGGGCCCCCACGAGCTCGGCCTCCCAGAGCCGGCCAACCAGGACCTACCACACTAGGCGCCAGGAACACGGACACGTTGTGGCAATCCCTCAGGCTCACCTGCAGCGAGGAGAGGTTGGCAGTCAGTGACCGCCAGCCAGGGGGCCAACCCGGCGAGGCGGGGGGCCGGACTCCCTTACCTTCCAGAGATCCTCTCGGCGGTAGCAGACGCTGTGGGCACAGCCGGCCCTCCAGGCGTGCAGCCGCGCCAGCATCACTAGCCAGGGATTCAGCTCGTAGCCCACTGCGGGGCGGAGGCCACTCCGGTGGGCCGCCAGCACCTGCAAAGCGCGGGAAGCGGGGAGGTAGACGCCGGCCCTGGGGCGGCGGGGGTGCCGCGGCCCGCCGAGCGCGCGCACGGGCGCCTTACAATCCTGCCGTCGCCGGAGCCCAGATCCACCGTCTTGCCAGGACGGCCTCGCAGCAGCGACAGCACGTGCTCCACCTGCCGCGCGCTCGCGCCGACGTAGGGCACCTGCGGGCAGCGGTCAGTCGGCCACCGGCACGGCCGGGCCCCGCTGCCGGCCCCGCGCCCCGGCGCCCCGCACCTGCAGCCGCAGCGGCACGCGGCGGAAGCCCGGTTGCAGCAGTAGCGCCCACACGGCGTAGGCGAGCAGGCCCGAGCTCGCCGCCGCCTGCAGCAGATCCCAGCGGCTCAGCCGCCGCCCGCGCAGCTCGGCCAGCGCCTCGGCCGGGTCGTCCGGCTCCATGACTGCGGCGCCGGAAGGGGCGGGCCGGGCCTGGGGGAGCCGGAAGGGGCGGGCCTGGCGGGCGCCAGGAGGGGCGGGATTGGCGAACGTCGGGAGGGGCGTGGCGGACGCCGGGGGCGTGGCGGGCAAGAGTCGGGCCAGCGCGGGGACGGGCGTGGCGAGCGCCGGGAGGGGCGTGGCTGACCCCGGAAGGGGCAGGCGGGCAAGAGCGGGGCTAGCGCGGGGAGAGGCGTGGCGGCATCGGCGAGCGCCGGAAGGGGCGTGGCTGACGCAGGAAGGGGCGGGGCCCGCCCTAGATGTTTAGTCTCCACGCACTCCGCGGTCCTCTTGGCTCTCGCCCGCGGGCGGTGCTGGGAGACCCCGGAGAGTGACAGGATGGGGCTGGCCCGGAGCTGCGCTGTAATGACCCCCACGTCCCCTCAGGCCTGCATCCGGCTGAGACCCCGAGCTTCTGGGAAGCCGTGGCCAGTCCACCCGAGCGATCGTCCCGGTCCTGCTGGACACCCACCCCGAAAGCTCCCCAAGAAGGGAGCTGTTCACGGGGGTGACGCGCTGCCGCCTCTCGCTCCGCGAGGGCGGGAGATGGGTGCTTTGGCGGACACAGGCTTGGGCTCTGATTGGGTCAGGGGGACATCGCCCCGAGAACTGGGCAGTCACCTCCCTTCTCCAGATGAAGATTCACACGTACACCGATATCAAGCTCCAGAGGTCATCTGGAAAAGTAAATGGGGGACTAGCCTGGGGTCTGGTGCCTTCCACAGGTCATCCTCATACCCACACACAACTGCGGGGCCGTTCCACGCCAGCAGACATGCACAGCGCTGGACTGGGCGCACATACGGACTGACCTGGCTCCCTCCCAAGCCTCGAGCCCTGGGGGTGGAGCACTACGGGTGGGCCAGCCCACCACTGCTCCTGCTGGCTGACAGAGTCCTCCCACAACGGAGGCAGGAGGCAGCCCATCTTATATCTGCTTCCCAACCTGGCAACTGGAAGGTATTCGGGAAAGGGTTGTAGTAGAATGAGTCCACCTGGCACACTGCTCCTTGACATCTGGACTATGGACAGTATAGGACCTGCTGTGCCCTGACTGGAGCTGTGTCACTGATCTACACAGGTGGTCCAGGAAGGCCACTTCACACTGCTCCAGCCACTTCATCTCCATGTCTTTCTGGCCTGAGCCTTGGGGGCACCATGGGGAGACAAAGGTGCAGAGGGGGCCCAGTACCTAGTCTAGGTCCCACTCTGCAGCTTTTCAGAAGGCTACAGTGACCACTGCATGTGTCTGGGACGTCCTTCCACACGAGGAGCAGTCATGGAAACCGGTGTGGGTAGCATGCGAAGTGTCCTGGACAGGGCACATTCCAAGCCACCTCCTTGGGGCTGGGGGCAGACACAGATGCAGGGAGGTCTATAATCCTGGAAGGTGTGGGCTAGTCAAAGGGGAGTGCAGAACAAGGGGCTCGGTGGCACGTCATTCACCTGGGTGTGTGAGGCCCTGGGTTCGATTCCCAGCAATGTGGAGGGAAAGGAGTGGGGATTCAGCATATTGAATTTTCTAGTGGTGGGACAGCGACAAGGACAGAGGTGTAGGGGCTGACCTCTGTGTGCCAAGGCTAGTGACGGGGAGGGAAGAGGATCACAGCAGGCTCCTCATGACTGGGCAAGTAAAAGGGGCGCACCCTGTGTGATTGCAGCTTCCAGAGAGTTCGACCTGGGACCTGAGAGTTTATCCAGGGGCCTGCCCTGTGCCAAGTCCTGCCTGGAACTGACCCCAAGGACAGCGGCAGGCCAGGTAGGGAACTTTGGAGGGTCAGTGAAGGTACCCCTGGCACTGTGCTGTCTAGCCCGGGAACTGTGTAGTGGAGTGAAATCCCAGGGCAAGACTCTGACTCCAGCATGAAGCCCTTTGAGTGGTAGGAACTGAGGTGAAAGGTGGGGCAGCCACATAGGGGCCAAGGGTAGGACACTTGGAGGCCCTTTGTGTACCCTCCACGGACAAGAGGCAGGGCCCCGTGGCAACCCCACAGCCATGGTCAGGAGATGCATCTGGGATGCCCCCCACAGTCACAAGGGTCTGGGCAGAGCAGACATTTCTTCACTAGCACCTGCCCCACATCCAGTGCCACCTCTCAGGTGTGGCAGTGGGTAGCATGAGCACCAGGTAGTAGGGGTCACAGCCCAGTCAGGCAGGTGAAGGGGAAAGTGCAGATGGCGGCCTACACCAGCCCTCCCTGGGCACCCACCCAGGTCGGCGGCAGGTACTACCCCACCCCTCTGTGATGAGAGGTTTCTGCAGCAGTGCATCCTGGCTGACCCTGCAGATGGTCCCCTGGACGACTGCTGGGGATGTTGGTCAGGTGGGTATAAGGAGGAGGGGAGGAGGCAGGCCCAGCCAGAGCAGGTCACTCAGCCCTCAGGGCAAGGCACCTGGAGGCAGGGTCATGGGTATACAGCCAAGCCCCACACTGTCCAGCTCGAAGTGACGCCACTGTGAACAGGACACGCAGCACTGGGGCATGGGCAGGTCCTTTCCTGTACCTGCCCCTGGAACACCTTCTCCCAGACACTCCTCCCACAGCCACCAAAAGCCGTGTCATCTCTGCAGAGGACTCTGAGGCCAGCCCTCTCTGGACTCCCGTGACTAGGTGCCCACTCAGAGCCGCCTCCCACACCCCTGGTCCAGAAAGTGCAACGGCCACACCCGGCAATGAGCCCGCAGTCCCACAGCGACTCCTGCCTGCACCTGCAGCGGCATTGCCTAAGAAGCCGGTGTGGGCAACCGAGGCCAGGGGGCCACAGAGGGTGGGAAGCCAGCTGCCGGCCGGTTCATTCCCACTGTCCAGCTGACCTGGGCAGCCCCAACCATCATAAATTGAGGGCATGATCATAGACAAATGCTGTCATGATCCAAAAGTAATGATGAGACTAGGACCTGCTGGGGATAGGAAGACTAACCTGGCCTGAGGACTGTGGTAAAATCTCCTCAGGAAGAACCAAACTTTAAGTTGGTATCTCTTACTGTGCTCATACAGAATGACATTGCTAGAAATATTAGAAGTAGATTTACTACAACTATTTAAGTGGATTACTAGCTGAGGAAAGAAGAAAGCAACACACCCTGAATGGGATCCCGCCCTTAAGCAGATCTCCTAGTAATCCAGAGTAATCTCTCTAGGTGAGATTTAATCCTTGAGTTAATCTCCTGGAGGAGTGGTTTTACCTCTCTTTGTTGATTTGTTAATGCTCAACCCACCTTTGTGTCACCACCCTATGTGATTGCTATATAAACTAAGACTGTAAGAGCAGAGGGGCCAGAGTCAGAGTCCACAGGAGAGAGTCAGAATCCAGAGCGTAGGACTCCAGAGAGAGAAGCAGAAGAGCTCCAGAGAGAGAGATCGGAAGAGACCAGAGGAGAGACTACAGAGACAGAGTCAGAAATAGAGAGACAGACAGAAGAGAGCACAGTAGCACGCACAGAAGCAAAGCACAAAGGAAGAGCCGTCCCGATCTGGTCCATACACAGTGGCTCGAGAGCACCAAATGTGGGCAGCAAGAGAGAGCTGCCCCGAGAGCCGGCCAACAACACATCATTATCTTTGCATCCCTCCCCTGGGCACGCGTAAGATATATTTTTTACAGCTGGCGTCCCTGGGTGGGCTTTTTTTTTTTTTTTGCTCTTTGGGTCACACCCGGCGATGCACAGATGCACAGGGGTTACTCCTGGCTCTGCACTCAGAAATCACTCTTGGCGATGCTCAGGGGACCATATGGGATGCTGGGAATCGAACCCGGGTCGGCCGGGTTGGCCGCGTGCAAGTCAAATGCCCTACCAGCTGTGCTATTGCTCCAGCCCCGGGTGGGCTTCTTTTTACAAAAACACAAAAATTTGAATTAGAGGTACAATTCCAAATCACAATACAGTCTAATTAGTTGTACTAAGATTTCAGTCCAACCCTAGACCCAGAGCAGTGCTTGTTATAAAGCACCCATTGTCCTGCACTGTCCAGGAATGATGAGAGTCACTTTTTCGCATTTTGACGACATCATGCATCTCGATGAGGTTTGTCTCGGATGAGGTTTGAAGACCTTTTTTTGCTGTTTCTCTGATGTGGACTCCTCCAGTTTCCTTGTGACTTCCAGCTGAAATTGGTTTGACTGACTGAACTTTAGAGGGTTAAGTAGTTTCTGATGGTTTGAGGGTTGAATCAATTCAACTTCTGACGAGACATAGTGGAATCCACATTTTCTTTGTGGGTCTGTTACCTGTGAAAATATAAGCATAGACTTTTCCTCCCACGAGGAGTTTCCCCAATACGTTCAAGTAAGGAAATGCCTTCTTTTTTTGTTTTTGATTTAACATGCCATATATCCATGGAATATGTAGACTTTGTGGGCTTAAAGCCACAGTGTTGCTTTAATAGTCAAGCTGCTTTCTCCCTAAAAGTAGGCCTGTAGCACCTTGTGGGATTGGTCCCTTTACACCAGAATTTAGTTTGTAGGGACACTGGTCAGGGGTTATAGTAATCGTATTAGGGCAGGAAATATCCAAGGCTGCGCTTCCTGCCCTCACTGACTGTAGCGAGTCTACTGATTGGAGCTCCACATTTGGGAGAGGGGCTACAACTGGGAACACCCCCTGATTTTGCGGGGCCTGGGGCTGGCTTCCTTGCAAATGTCCCGAACTGAAGTCAAAGCTGTATCAAAATTGAAGCGACAATCTCTGGCCCAATGATTCCCCCTCTCACACCTGGGACAGGGCCCAGGAGGTTCAAGTCTGGCTCGGCACTCTCTGGCCCAGTGGTTTCCCTTCTTACACCTGGGACAGGGTCTGGGAGATGCTCTCAGAGTAGCACAGTTGGGAGGTGCCCTGCAATCTTTATGAAAGTGGCCTGGTTCTCCACAATTAAAATCTTTTCTGAGCTTGTAAGGCATAGACCTCAACAGGCTTCATCTGCACCTTATGTTTAACAAAACCAACATTTCGACATGCTTTCAAGTACCCCATTATGTCCTCCTTCT